ACTAATAATAATAATAATAAAAGTACTACTGCTGCTGCTGCTGTAGCTACTACTACTACTACTACTACTACTACTGCTGCTACTACTACTAAAACTACTACTACTACTCTACTACTACTACAACTACTACTACTACTACTACTACTACTACTACTACTACTACTACTACTGCTGCTACTACTACTACTACTACTACTATTACTAAAATAGTTTGTTAGTTAAAGACGCTTGTCATTTTGTCATCGTGATCGAATTCAAACGCAAAGTGACTCCCGCCTATAATACGAAATGTGTGTGATGAGTTTAGGTGTGTCTGTGTGTGTGTGTCTGTGTGTGTGTGGATCTGTGTATGTCTGTGTGCAAGCACACAAATAAAAATCTTTATTGTTGTAATAATTATTAATTAACTAATTAATTAACTAATTATCATATATGACTAATTTAATTATTCAATTTAAGTTGTTGTTATTATAATTACAGAATTTAATAACCACTAACAACTTTATTACCCTTATTATCTTAATCTAATGTCACTATCTTCAAGTAATAATACTATCTCTACTTAATGATATCATCTTTATATAATGATACCATCTTTATCTAATGATACTATTATGGCTGCTTAAAATACTGATTTAGTATTACTACTCGAGTTTTTATTACAGCTACTGATCTGTATGTAGGACCATAATAGGGTGTATTATTTTGAACGCAAGCTGGAATAAAGATTTACATAGGATGGTCGTAAATTTTAACCTGCCCGTTCGCGGATCAACATTTGCAGCATTATTATTGATGCTGTTTATTTTAGAATACTTGAAAAGTTATCAAGGATTAGTAGTTTTAACACTGGTCTGATTATACATATCATTAATATGGTTACTACAGCTACGGCCTATCATATAAATTCTGTTACTTTAGTAATTACTTTTAAAGTAATTAAAACTATTTTAAAACTATCAATTAGTTAAGTAATTAATTAATTAAAACTATTGCACTTAATTCGAATACTTGTACTACTGCTGCTGTCGCTATACTACCACTACTACTATTGCTGCTGCTTCTACTACTACTACTACTACTACTACTACTACTACTACAAATGCACAAGCGCCTAAAACACCCCATGTTTTACCCCTTATTACGTGCATGTCTCTTCCCTTACATCTGTCATCTTCATCACGATGACGTCAGCAACATAAACATAGCAAACAAACCTAACAAAAGCAGCATAGAGAAAACAAACAGCAACATAAACAACAACATAGAGACAAACTAAATATAAACAACAACATAAGAAAGAACAACATGTAAACAAACAAAATATAAACAGCAACATAGAAACAACAACATGAACCAAACAAAATACAAGCGACAACCTAAACAACAACATACATACATACAAACA